GCTACAGTGTTAGCCACAACCTCATTTCGTATTCGTGTTAGCCACAACCTCACTTGAAATTTTAGGCATTCATTCTTCTCATCAAGGTGCACCTAACAAAAATAATTTAAAAAAAAAAATCATAAAATATAAATTGATCAAAATACCCCTGAAATGTTTCAGGGGTATTTTGGTCAATTTAGTTTTTGCATATTATTGTTTTTATATTTTTATTAGATTCTAATATTTTTAAAAAATAGACGCTCAAAATTTCAAGTGATTTGGATTTGTAGAAAAAAATAAAAATCCAAATACAAAATGAAATTGTGACCATTAGATCGGCCCAGATTCAATCTAGGATGTTGGGCTAACACTACAGCATTACCTAGTGGATTAAGGCCAGCCTTTCCCATATATATATATATATAAAACAACCAAATAAAGGATACTCATACTCTTCTTTATTTGATGAATTTGCATTGGTTTCTAAGGCTGAATTTATGTCAAGAAAATAGATATTGTACACCTCTGCCATTCACAAAGGGCGTCTTCCTGGTCGAAAGTTTGCATACTTGAATTTGTAAGTCTAACTAGATAGCCTAAAACAAAACAAAGAAAAAGAGAGATTTTTGAAGTGTAGTGAACTTCTTTTAGGTTTTGGTAGCCTTTGCACCTAAGTTCCAACTTGCACTAAAAATTATCCAAGTGTGCTTCTCTTGGTTATGCACTAGGTTACATGGATTCTTCAATAAGGGCCCCAAACCCGTGTTGGAGATGTATGGAAACGCGTACGAGTACGGATTATTCTATATTCTTCAAGTTCAACAATACTGGAAAAAACTTGTTTTTGCTATCGATCACATAAATAGAATTAGAATTTATTTAATTCTAACCATGCATTCATTAACAAGCACTAGACTCTTTCATTTTTATGTGAACTGAGAAAAGAAGAACTAGCTATTTCTTTTTCATACTCTGCATTCAATAACAAATATGTAAATATACATATATATATATATATACACAATGTTCTAATGTAACGGTTGTATCATAGTATAATCCAACCACACTTCTATAAAACCATGTTTGGGGTATTTGTATGACCCAAAATTTTGCGCACGCACTCTCTTCATCTCAATAATCAATCCCCAAAAAAGAAAGTTCGATTTGAACCCTAGATATGGTCAAAATGAGTCCCCTCTAACAACGAATACAATGATCTAATGTAACGGTTGTATCATAGTATAATGCAACCACACTTCTATAAAACCATGTTAGTGGATTTGTATGACCCAAAATTTTGCACACACACTCTCTTCATCTCAATAATCAATCCCCAAAAAAAAATTTTGATTTGAACCCTAGATATGATCAAAATGAGTCCCCTCCAACAACGAATCTAGACCATTCATTTGGTGAATTTCAAGATCTTAGCCTTTACAAACTCAAAATTATTTTTTTCTTTTTTAACATTGTTCATCTAATGATAATAAATCCATCTATAAAAATTGAAAATTAAAAAATCGTCTAAGGCCTAGATCTAAGCATCTCAACAAAATGAACAACCTATGTTAATTGAGCTAAAAAAATACATTGGAGGTTGCGTTTTCAAATTTTTATTTTTTGTGATTGTTCATTAGAATGAAAAGAAGGTATATTTTAAAATTTGGAGAAAACAAACGGCCCTATCATGGTTTTTGAACATCGTTGCATAATATTACTATAAAACTGTTGCATGAAATCACTGCCCTATATATATACATATATATATATATCTATATCTATATTCTATCTATATATATATATGTATATATATATATATATATATATATATATAAACTCCCATAAACACATTATCCATTCTTATAATCCCTGACCACTTTTCACCCTTCATCCACTCTTCCTCTATCACCTTGTCCATATCAATTTGCTCATTCTCGAGCAATGTTTGCCTTATCCTGACGTGCATATTTCCTCTTATAAACCTCTTCGACTTGGGCAGTTGTTCATTCTTACCACCATCTTGCTCTTTTTCTCACATTCATTTACTTGTCAATCAATTTCTTGTTATCAACATGGGTTCCCAAGTTCCCTCAACATCGATGCAAGCCCATTTAACCATCTTACCCACACACAACAAAGGAAGAATAAATTGGGTCAGATAATTTTACATGCATATTATTTATTCAATAAATAAA